AAGTATTTTTGACTACTGTAATATACGCAACGAATTAGTGTTCAAATTGCCTCTTCCAATTTTAAATATCGATGAAATAATTGAAATTTCAAATAGGAAGAAAATTACGTATTTTGAATGTTTTTGGAATTACGGAATTCTATTGATGAAATCACACATTTCAATACTATAAGAATTTTTCAAATTAATTTTAAGAGTGAAATGGCATTAGATTTCACAAAAAAAGTATTGAGCATAATTTGGGAGGGATCGGATGGTTCGTATTATATTACAATTGAAAATCTGGAAGAATTATGCGAAAAATTAAATCGAGATGAAGGAGAAAAAGTTTTTTCTCTTATCATAAAATGGTATAATTATATGTATTGCATTAAAAATTATGATTTTGAAGATGAAGAAATGAAAATTACAATCAAAATTGTTAAAAATGCAAAATATGTTATTATAAATGAGGACAAGGAAGAAATAAACTTTATTGATTATCCTCCAATGCCGACATTTATTGAAAAAAAGAAGTTAGAGAAATTAATTAAATTTGAAGAGGTGAAAAAGGTATATGAAGATAATGTTTAATTGAAATGTAATTAGCATTTGGATTAAATGCAAGGTGAGATATAGAATAAGAATCAAACAGGGATTTTGCAAAATGAAAATTTAAAAAATTAAATAGAATTAGAAATTTTAATGAAGAATTAAATGAATTTTGTTTAATGGTTAATAATATAAATCGTAATTTTAATTGTAATATGAAACTTCCTCACACCTCAAGAGATGCGAAGAACTTTTGACAGGCAAAGTGCAATATTGATAGGTGATTGCACTTTGCCTGTCACATACATCTCGACAGAGGCAACATTCGATATGAAAGTTTCCTCTGTCGAGAAACTTCCTCACACCTCAAGAGATGCGAAGAACTTTTGACAGGCAAAGTGCAATATTGATAGGTGATTGCACTTTGCCTGTCACATACATCTCGACAGAGGCAACATTCGATATGAAAGTTTCCTCTGTCGAGAAACTTCCTCACACCTCAAGAGATGCGAAGAACTTTTGACAGGCAAAGTGCAATATTGATAGGTGATTGCACTTTGCCTGTCACATACATCTCGACAGAGGCAACATTCGATATGAAAGTTTCCTCTGTCGAGAAACTTCCTCACCCTCAAGAGATGCGAAGAACTTTTGACAGGCAAAGTGCAATATTGATAGGTGATTGCACTTTGCCTGTCACATACATCTCGACAGAGGCAACATTCGATATGAAAGTTTCCTCTGTCGAGAAACTTCCTCACACCTCAAGAGATGCGAAGAACTTTTGACAGGCAAAGTGCAATATTGATAGGTGATTGCACTTTGCCTGTCACATACATCTCGACAGAGGCAACATTCGATATGAAAGTTCCTCTGTCGAGAAACTTCCTCACACCTCAAGAGATGCGAAGAACTTTTGACAGGCAAAGTGCAATATTGATAGGTGATTGCACTTTGCCTGTCACATACATCTCGACAGAGGCAACATTCGATATGAAAGTTTCCTCTGTCGAGAAACTTCCTCACACCTCAAGAGATGCGAAGAACTTTTGACAGGCAAAGTGCAATATTGATAGGTGATTGCACTTTGCCTGTCACATACATCTCGACAGAGGCAACATTCGATATGAAAGTTTCCTCTGTCGAGAAACTTCCTCACACCTCAAGAGATGCGAAGAACTTTTGACAGGCAAAGTGCAATATTGATAGGTGATTGCACTTTGCCTGTCACATACATCTCGACAGAGGCAACATTCGATATGAAAGTTTCCTCTGTCGAGAAACTTCCTCACACCTCAAGAGATGCGAGGAACTTTTGACAGGCAAAGTGCAATATTGATAGGTGATTGCACTTTGCCTGTCACATACATCTCGACAGAGGCAACATTCGATATGAAAGTTTCCTCTGTCGAGAAACTTCCTCACACCTCAAGAGATGCGAAGAACTTTTGACAGGCAAAGTGCAATATTGATAGGTGATTGCACTTTGCCTGTCACATACATCTCGACAGAGGCAACATTCGATATGAAAGTTTCCTCTGTCGAGAAACTTCCTCACACCTCAAGAGATGCGAAGAACTTTTGACAGGCAAAGTGCAATATTGATAGGTGATTGCACTTTGCCTGTCACATACATCTCGACAGAGGCAACATTCGATATGAAAGTTTCCTCTGTCGAGAAACTTCCTCACACCTCAAGAGATGCGAGGAACTTTTGACAGGCAAAGTGCAATATTGATAGGTGATTGCACTTTGCCTGTCACATACATCTCGACAGAGGCAACATTCGATATGAAAGTTTCCTCTGTCGAGAAACTTCCTCACACCTCAAGAGATGCGAAGAACTTTTGACAGGCAAGTGCAATATTGATAGGTGATTGCACTTTGCCTGTCACATACATCTCGACAGAGGCAACATTCGATATGAAAGTTTCCTCTGTCGAGAAACTTCCTCACACCTCAAGAGATGCGAAGAACTTTTGACAGGCAAAGTGCAATATTGATAGGTGATTGCACTTTGCCTGTCACATACATCTCGACAGAGGCAACATTCGATATGAAAGTTTCCTCTGTCGAGAAACTTCCTCACACCTCAAGAGATGCGAAGAACTTTTGACAGGCAAAGTGCAATATTGATAGGTGATTGCACTTTGCCTCTCCAAACTCTCAAATATGCTTCTCACCATACATCAAACGGCAAATTTCTCCTTAAATTTCTCTTTATTTGAAAGGTTTTCAACAAAGCTATACTTAAAAATCTGTGCTTGTTATATCTGATCATTTGTGTGTTAGGGGAGGTAAATTTCTTCCACTAGAGCAAATTTTTTCCGAAGTTTCTCATTCGATGAGAAACCTCGGAACAACTCTTCAATAGTGTAATGAATTTGTGGTATTTGTCCTGCAAACAGCGAGAGAACTTGTCTGTAATTCGTTTATGATGAAGTTATCTGGATGTCTCTCAGATGAGGAAGGAAGTCCAGAAAACTTCACCATAAGTTAATACTTGTGTATTTCTATGACTCTCTTCACGTCAGAGAATGTAAATTTACTCGAATAGGGCAAAGTTCTGCTCAAGTTTCTCATTTGATGAGAAACTCGGAAGAACTTTGCCCTAAGGTAATGTATATGTGATTGTTGGCCCACAGAGAAACAAGGAATCTGTTTGTATTTCGTTTATGGTGAAGTTCTCGGATGTTCTCTCAAATTATATGGAAAATCAAGAGAACTTCACCATAATTTGTTGTAGTTGTGATTCTCTGGCTCTTTGCCGGCCAGAAAACTAGAAAATAGTTTATAGTGGGAGTATGCTCGATGAATACTATAAACGTTATTTTTTGTTTTCCTATGGGAAAATAGTTTTGATTTTTATACTATCGTATGCTTTGTTATTGCATGAATTGTCTATTTTCTTAATAAAAACTCATTTTTCCGTGTGGTTCTGAATCAATGCATTCCAAAAAAGCGTTTTCCGCTTTGAAACGTGAAAACACACATTGCATGAAGAATAAGAGAAGATTTTCTATCTTTCAATTTTTTAGACTTTTTGAGTAGTATATGAGTGCGGGTTATGTGACTTTTTTTGTAAACGTAAGAATTCATACAATTATTGAACGATTTTGTATCATTTTTTTTAACATATGAAGTAAAAAATGTATGATTCTTACGGTTTTTATTCTTACGTTTTGAATAAATCAAGATTTAAAAATTGACTTCTTACGTAAAATTAAAACTAAGTTAAATTTATTTTTTTATTTAATGATAAATGAAGTAAAACAACTAATTCATTGAAATCTTTAAAGTTCACTAATTCAGATTAGAAATATTTTAGAAAATTTTGGAGACGGTTCTTATCCAACATATATGCAGAATGTGAAAGAGTTTTCCAGATTGTTGAATGAATTTAAATATAACGGACCAATTACTAAAAAGCTATAATGAGATATTTATATCCCAAAAAAGTTGAAAAACAGGAGAATATTCCTCTTTATGGTCCAGAGGACCTGGGCTCAGAGAGTCTTGAAACACCTCCTGAATATTTTGAAGAAAAAATTAAACAAGATGAATATTATAACGATGAGATTGAGAAATTGGAACAATTAAGAAATGAAATAGATGAAAAAATTATGGAATTGAGAAATGCTGAGAATGAAGTAGAGGGTTTAATGAATATCCCAGCTTCAGAATCAGAAGTTCAGAAATCTCATGAAGAAAGATATAAAAATTACTTTTTGGAATCTACTAAAAATTTATTAGATGGTGATATTGACGAAACACTTTCAGAAGAAGGCACAAAATTTATTCATAAACATAAGTTACAATTTATTGACGATGGAGATTATCCATGTATATTACTTTCACCTCCTCTTGATTCTGAAAATTCAAAAAAGCACTGAAAAAATGTAACATATGCAACAAATACGATTAAGAAAGAAGATCATGATATTTACACAAATTATTATTTAAATAAATGCACAGGTGTTGATAAAGTTTTTGATTTATTAGATAAAATATCAAAAGAAACCATTGGTACATATAAAATTTTATGCGATTGTGGTTTCATTATTGAAAGATACCAATAATGTTTCATATGAAAGAACAGCACCGAAGGAAGATGAAGTGGAAAGGTCTATACCATTCGTTATTAAGAACATAAAAGATATGAAAACTTATAAACATTATATTTATTCATTTATTTCAGAAAAAATGGAAGCAACCCATAAAACATCTTCTCATCATTTTATAGCTATTCATACATTCCTTTTCAAAGTTGTGAAATTAAATAAGACAGGAATTAGATTTAATGTATCAGGGTACGCATTCTTGAGTAAATTAAAATGTATTCGTCACGTCGCAGATGATAAAAATTTATGTGTTCTTAATTCATTTTATGGACTTTAGCCCTGGACTCTCTGAGTCTCGGACTTTAAAAAAATAAACTTTATTTTTATTTATTTTTTATTCTTACATAAATGAATGATAATCAAATAAGAGCCGAAGGTAGAAGGTTATTTAAACGCTTCTATAACATTCCTGATGGTGTTAATCCTAAAACTCGTAGAAGTTATTTAAATGAAGCCATAGATGCATATGAAGGATTTGACATTTCATCAGAAAGTGAGAGGTTAGCAAGAATGTTAAATGTTAATATTGATTTCTATTATTGTGATCCTCAACCAGAAGACGTAGACATTAACAAGGTAGACTTTCCATTAGTGGAATCAATAATGATAGATCCAGAATTTGAAACAGTAAATATTTTATTAACACAGAGTCCATGTGGAAAACTTCACGCTGACAGAATTACAGACGTTGAAGCACTCACAGGATATAAAGTTTGCCCCTTTTGCAAAGAAGAAGTATATTCTATCCGTGATGATCCAGAAAGGAAAAACCAAAGAAGATTTTTAAAGCATTGTGAGAAATGTAAAGAAAATAATGGGAGATTAATTCAAGACGTTCAATTGCAAAAGACCCAACAACCATATGCACCACATATTATGAAACAGAAGATATATCAGTGGTTATTAGCACATAATTTGCAGGGATATTATAAACCAACAAGATATTATATTACTTTTGACTTCGAAACATTAGAGACTAAAGAAGAACTTCAACTTTCTGAATGTGCAACTTTGAACGCTTACTTAAAACCATTCATGGTATCATCAACGGTTAATTAAATGATAAAACATATACGAGGAATTTTTGCTTAACATCAAGTGATTCGTTCATCTCTGATTGGATTGAATTTTTATTTTCAACCTGTTCATTAGTTGCTAAATCAAATATTGAACAATATGAAGAATTAATGAATACATTAAATGAGAAACAAAAGGAAGCAATGAAAGAACTTCTAGATGAGAATTCAATAAAGTGAATATCATAGGTTTTAATTCGGGAAAGTTTGATTTAAATTTAATTCTTCGTGATTTAAACACTGTAAAATGGAAAATAAAATCAATGCTGGGTTCATCTTCTCAATTTAAGCAAATCATTGTAAAGAAAACAAACGTTCCAATATGAATTAAGATTTATTGACATCAGAAATTATATAGCGGGTGGAACATTAGACCAATTCACTCAAGATTTCGGAAACAATAAATCACGTGTTAAATCCTTTTTCCTATCAATTCATCACATGGGAGAATTACGAAGAAGAATTATATAAAGAGGAACCATTCACGAAAGATTCATTTATTCAGCATTAACCCAAGAAACTATATCAGATAGTGATTATCAAATATATCTCAATGATGCTAAAAACTTTAAGAATAGATTAGAATATTTTATTCATTATTGCAATAAAGACGTTGAAATTATGATTGACCAATTGATAAAATTATTGAAGAAACATTTGTTTATAAAATTGACATGCTTCATAATCTTTCTTTATCATCGAATGCATCAATGATTCGTTACGCGTTAGCATATAAGAACTTCAATCCTAATGAAACATATCCAGAAGAAGAAAATGTGGAATCAAGTTTTGAATTAACGAAAAAGTATTGGAAATAATAAAATTGAATCATATAAGAAACAAGATGAAAAAGCAGAAAGGGATACTAAAAATAATGTTTCAATGGATGACTATCAATACTATCACGATTTAATCCTTTCATCTAAATGCAAAATGTGTGGTAAAGCGTTTACATATGCTAATAAACCAACATTGGATAGAATCGATAATGAAAAACCACATACCAAAGAAAATTGTCAGTTAATGTGTTGTTATTGCAATGTCGTAAAATCAAATAAAGATGAAGATGTTCAACGTTTAAGAATCAATTTAAGAAATTATGCATTAAAAAATAATTTACCAATGACTTTAGATTCAGTTGAAGCTTATCACATTCTCCGTAATGGAATTACTGGTGGTCTATCAAATGTTCAACATCGTGTTAATCTTAAAGGAATCACGCACATTAATAAACTTTCATATAATCCAGAAACTAAAACTGTATCAAATGAGGACACCACCAACATTATGACTCATTTCGTTGGAGTTGACTTTAATTCATTATATCCTTCATCATTTTCATCTAATCCTCATGATTTCATTCAATATACTGACCATAAAATGTATATGCCGGGAAGATTGAATGGTGTTATCATTTGTGATACAGCAACAAAGAAAGCAAAAGCACTGGGATAATTAGAAAGAAAAATACTTTATTCGTGGCTGAAGTAAAGGGTCACATTGATGAAAAATACATTAATGATTACATAAACTTTTACCAATAATAAGAAACTTAGATATTATCACAGATGAAAAAACAATTGGCAGTTTTATGTATAATTACATGAAATCAAACAATCTACCAGTTGACCAGAAACAGAGAAAATTAACTCAGTTAGCATCAACACACAACCAATATCAACCATTTTCTTCTTATTATCTTTGGTATCTAATAGACAGATTTCATTTTATCATTGATGATATTCAATCAATTTTAACATTTACGAAAAACACTTGCTTTAATGAATTTGCGAACGAATTTATGAACGAAAAACAAAAGGCTGAATTAGAAGGAAATAAAGGAAAAAGTTTATTTTGCAAGATTTCACTTAATGGATCATATGGTTACGATGCAATGAATACACAAAATTACGCAAAGACTAAAATAATGAATGCACAGAAGGCACGCGTTGCATGTATGTCAAATAAGTTTAAAAACATAAGAGAAATAGGTGAAGACGTATCAAGTGATGCTTAAAGATAGATTTTATAGATGTGATACATGTTTACAAGAGGCATTCTTCACTTTAGATAACGCAAAATACTGGTATTTGGTTTCATTTATGATTTTATGTATAAATGCATGAATGTTAATCGTTTTCATTTCATTGAAGGTGATACTGATTCATCTTATTGGCAATCGCTGGCGACCCAAATCTCCTAACACTCAAGCATTTCAAGCAATTGTTACTGATAAACAATTTATATATAAAACATTTACAAATTCGCACCTTTTGATTTCTTTGTTTTAATGAGAAATTTAAACCTAAATTAAAGAATAAAGCTGAAGAAAAGCACATGAGAAGAAGTATTGGTTTAGCAATTGAGAAACAAGGTGATAACATGGTTGCTTTATGTCCTAAGTGTATACATCATTCAACGGTTCAATTGATGGAAGTGATTTTAAAAAGATTGCACACAAAATGAAAGGTGTTAGTTTACGACAAAATAAACAATTAACACCTAAAAATTATTGGATATAATAAATGATAAAGTTATTTTCGATGGTCAGAATATTAATTTACAACTTAAAAACAGGTCAATGACTCGCTTAACAATTGGTAAGACTGCATTAACAGGAGCACACACTAAGGCTGTATGTTGTGAAAATGGATGTTGTATGCCATTTATTTAATAAAATGCACAGAAGAGACAAAAGGAACCGTTAATGATGGCTTTGATTCTTGATCAAAGAGGTGGGCACCCTTAAAACATTGATTTTATTTTTATATAAATGAATAACACAGATTTAAAAAATTTAATTGCTGATTTAGTACTTAATCAAAAATTTCTTAGTTATTATGAATTAAAATCATATCTCCAAAAATATAATAATAATATAACGGGTGATGATATGGAATATTATTATCCATATTATAAAAATGAAATTTTGAAATATCATGATAGAATAATTTCTGAAATTAAAGACAAAATTAAAAATAATGAATATACAAAGGGAAAAACTAAATCACAACTTAAACAGTTGAAAGATTTCAAAAAAATAAAGTATTAACAGAAGAAGATATTGATGAATTATATAAATTATATAATCCTGAGCCACAAAAACAAAGGAACAAAACACCCAGGTCCTTCAGACTATAAATGATGCACAAGCCTTAATTTATGATTCATTAGTTAAACCATATTCAGCCCGACTTTTAAATGAAGATCATACTTTGGAATTCATCCTTCAACATAAACTCGAAGCGGGAAAGTATATCAAACCTTTATATACAGCATATTTAAAACAAATGAATAAAATACATCCAGAATTAATGAAGGAGGATTGAATTCCAAAATCAAAGCAGATAAATTAAACCACTTGCAACACCAAAAACTCCAACGACAGTACCGCCTCCTCCTTCAGTTAATCCTTCATCATTCACTTTATTATATCCATTTCAAACATTAAAGAAGCAAAAAGATTTTAAAAAGTGTTTCAAGATTTAAATAAACCAATTGACCCAAAAATTCAACATTAAAGGAAAAATTTAGTCGCCCCTCATTTCACCATATCCATATTCATACGAAATTGATCATTTAGAATATTCAAAAGGAAACGTTACTTATTTATTTGCCATTAACATTAACACTAGATATTTATATTGCATTCCAGTGAAAGGAAAACAAAACAGAACAGGAAACAAGAAGAGCTATTCAATACTTACTAGATCATGAAAGAGTAGATAATATAAGGGGTGAAATATGAAATTTCCCGATTTTATCGATTCCAAAGAGCTAATCAAATTTGTCGCTGGATTTGCATTTTGCAGATTAAAATTTTTACGTCAATCCATTAAGGTTATAACACACTTAATTCAGAAACAAGAATTATTTTTAGAATTCAACGATAGTGATGATTTTATTAAAGCATTTGTTCAGTCTGTTAATCAATATTTACATAATGATACAACTAATATATACTCACCATATTTCTCATCTTATCCACCACTGGATCACTCTTTTTATGATAATTTAATCAACGATTCATTAGATGTACCAAAATATAAGGGATATAATATCACTTTTATCGGAGAAGAAAAAAACATTCAATTAAAATAAACGAAATTGTAATTCTATTTGAAGTGTTGTAAACAGAAATTCATCAAAAGTGACACCTCAGAAAAGTTAAAATATTGAATTTTTGGAACTTTTGATAGAGCACGTTTTTAAATATTAATTAAAGTAAATGTATATTTTGTAAAGATTCTTTTTAATAAAAAAATAAAATTTTGAAGAAGAACACAAAATCTTCTGAAAAATAATATCACATAAACTCATATTATTTTCTAATATATAACTATTTTATATAAAAATCAAATTCAATGATCTTAAAAGCGAAGGATAAACCTCAAAATTTACGAATATAATGAGTGGGAATATAATGCTTATCTATCATAAAACCATATGAAATATCAATTTTTGCTTTACGCCTAATTTTTGACGACAATTAGCAAAAAATGTTAAATGTTAACACTCAGTCCATTTGAATATGAAAAATAAAATTGACTTTGATTAAATGTTTTTATTTATCATGCAATTCTTCTTGCGACCAAAGATTTGAATAAAACTTCAAAAAATAAGATAGCTTAAAAAATAATATACGGTAGTGTTTACTAATAGATGAATAGTATATAAATTCTATTAAAATGGATTTGATCAAAAAAAATATATAAAATATTGATCATAAATAAAATTGTTTAGTAGTCATTTAAAATGATGTAATTATTCAAATTTTGCTAAGACCCATTCGTCTTTGATATATAACTCCCATTTTTGCATTTCTGGCTCGTACCAAAATTTTGAAACTTCGAATAATTCGTTAGGAGTGTAATTACTATTCGTTTTTGGATTAATATCGAGAGATAAATGTGGTGTATTGTTGTATTTTTCAATGAACTGCTGAACTGAGTCCTTGATTTGTTGAATATCATCCAACTTGTC